AAAAAAAAAAAATATATATATATATATATATATATATATATATAAAAGCAGTACATGCCTATTATAATTGGAAAACTGATGCACAAAGATAAAACTATCATCCTTAATTTCAGCTATCCACAGATAACCACTGTTAATAACCTTTTGGCACATAAACCAATTTTTTCCTATGCAAACATTGAAATGATTTTTAATTTGGGATAATATTATTTACATTTTATAAGTTCTTTCTAGTAGTACAAACATTTTCCCATATCATGAAATATTCCAAAAAATCTTTTAAAATGAATTCGTATATTGCAGCCACTACCTGAATCTACTTAACAAATTGCTTAATGTATTATATTTAGACTTTCTGCAATTTTGTTTATAAATATACCTCCACATGAATTAATATATGTACATCTTATTTCCTAATGAAAGTAGTACATGTATGAAATCAGTCACACTTTAATACAGCTAATCAAAATAATTCAAGAGATAAGTTAAATGCCAACTATTAACACTAACACTGGATGATAGAAATAAGGACTTTCACTTTCTATTTTTTACATTTTTACAACACATATATTACTAGAAAAAATTTTCCTACGAAGCAAAAGCAAAGAGAAAACACAATCTGAAAACTAAACCTGGAGATGTGTAGTATCCTCATTTATTCTTTGGCTAAAATCTACTTAAATATTGAAAGCAATGACAATTCTTTAAAAGTCAAGTTAGTTCTAAAAGCAGTAAAAAGATTTGTTAAGATTTTAAGTTTGTTCTAACTTTGCAGAATCTACAAGTTAACATAGGGAGTGTGCAACAATAGAATAAGCAAAGTTCTTCCCCTTAGCAACTTAATTGCTTAATAGAAACATTCTAATGTTATTTTCCCACAAAAGATCAAGCTTATTTAAAGCTTTAAATTCATGACCAAAAATACAAGTCAGTTGAGTCAATTCAAGTATCAATTCAACAAAAGAGGTTTAAACAGGATTTTTAAAAAGTTACAGTACTAACATAAAATGTTCATCCAGACTTAAAGACTCCTTGAAATCTTGAGCAGCAGCTTATTTTCAAGAACAATGGTATACGTTATACCCAGTATATTTGTGATGCCCCTCCTTAGCTTCATGTTTAAACACAGGTGGGGCCAATTCCTCACCACCAAACTATTCTACCAATTTGCTTTCTTCGGGTATGGCTCTTTCAGGAGATCTAAAACTATCTGTCAAAAGCTCAGTCCAAAGGCCTCTGCTCTACCTAACTGACTTCTATGGAGTTGATCACTCCCTTCTTTAAATGCTTTGATCCCTTTATTTACCTAACTCTTTTGTTAACCATTTCATTCTCTTACTCTTAAAATACAGCCATTGATCCAGCTTTTAAAAATATTTTTGTGCTTTTCTTTGTTTTCTATTCACCTTTAAGGATTCAACTGTCACTTCTATAAAGATGACTCCCAAATACACATAGTCCTAACATCTCACCAAACTCTGGCATCATATTCCCAATGATCACTGCTCACCTCTTCAGTGGAAACACTGCCTTCCCCTCCTTGTATGTGAACAACTTGCAGACCCCTTGCATTATTATTTGGCATTTTTCTCTGCGTTTCACCTACTATTACCTTAATTTAATTTAGGCTCTAGTTTTCTCTGCTCTGGTCTATTGTGGTAAGAGCAAACTACTTAAGAGCCCAAACCCTTAAAGATAGACTGCCTAAGATCGATTCTTGGCATGTCACTTAGAGCTGTACAATCTTGTACAAGTTATGTAAGATCTCTATGCCTTAGTTTTCATATCTATAATGAAGATAACAATAGTTACTTTATAGGGCAAGGGTTACATAAATGGTAGCTATTAATATTGTAATCTTTCAGTCTTCCAAATTCCAGATCTGACTATAATCCATCCTAAACATCTTAAGCAGGGGTTTTTCTCATCAGATCCTTGTTCTAAAACTTCCAACTCCTAAACCTAAAATCAAGGACCCGTCTAATCACAAACTGACAAAAATGGACTACCTATTACTGCCCCCAAACAACCACACTCTCTCAACTGCAGAGCAGCCATGTCAACAAACTCCAGAGAGCAACATTTACTGCCACATATCAAAACCTCCCTATCCATCCTTAGTGATACTTCATTGAGCTGTATATTTTTTCATATTTCTACATGGTGTTATGCTTCAGGTTTTAAAAGTTCTCCCACATATTGCACATATCAGTGTGAAGTTTGGAGTATCCTTCCAGACTTTTAATAAATACACAACTATTTAAAAACCAAAAATAGTGCTTTTTACATACTATAGGATATTTTACTTAACAACATACAGAAAAATCTATGAAAATGCAACCCAAAAGTAACATACAATCATCACCAAAAACCCCTGCTATTACCCCCCTTAAGTGACTTTTCAGAATAAGAACCCTGAATTTAATGAATCAAAGAACCTCAGACCTCTGAAAGTACAGAAATAGACAGCAGTTAGTCTGACTCTGGGGGAAAAAGAAACCATAGAAGGGGCATCCAAACTCATAACCACTGGATGAAAATAGAAGTTTAAAAAACAAACAAATAATTTAAAGCAACAACAAAAAAACTCAGGTATCCCATACAAGTCAGAGAAAAAAAATAAATCCGTAAGCCCCCGTGTGAGATCATATTTAAAATGTAAAAGTAGAATGTGTTGAATAGATGACTATAGGAACCTAAAGAACTTGAAGGTCTGCCTCTGAGATTAAATAAACAAAAATCCAAGTTAACGAATTAATATGAATAATTCAACCATCTTTAAAAGTAACCTAGACTAAGAAATGCTCTGTCAAAAAACACGTGGCTGAGCCAAGACTAAGAAATACCCAACTACCATGAGAGTGACCAAGATGTTTCTGAAATGCATGATTGATGTAAAAAAAAAAAGCAAGCTATAATCAAATCAAGTGTACTAAATGGAAAGTCCCTGAATTAGAAGATAATCAATCACAAAGGTATGTTTCATTTTTAATCCTGGGGGGCTTCATCAACACAAATACATTACCCCTTGGGACTATCCATGTCTTTTGATCCAATCTCATGCTCACAAATATTCCTCTGGTTATAATTTAGTCTTGGGAGGATTTATAGAAGAGAGGAGTTATCATGTTTCAAAAAAATATAATCCCTACTGAAAACCCTGATTTAGAAAAAAAACCTTCTCACCCTACAACATCCAGCTGGGCCCTAACTGTTCAACCACAACATACCACTGAGATGGCATTTATGGCAAACAGTTCCTGTATATGGCTGTATTAGATCTCCTCTGCTTGATTAAGTTCCTTTAGAGCAAGGACAATCAATAATAAATATTATGCACCTACTACACTCTAGGTTCTGTTCTAGGTGCTAGGGATACACCACTGAACAAGAGGTCAAAACTCAAATCCTTATAGAATACATCCTGATTTGGAAGACATACAAATATAAAAACATAACCAATTATAGTAGAATGTTAAAAGGTAACAAGTGCTAGGAGAACATGAAGCAGAGTAAAGAGGCAGGTAGAGCAGAGTGATTTGAGTTTTAAATACAGTGGTTAGGGTAAGCATCATTGACAAGGTGAAATTTTAGCAGAACAGATTCCTAGGTTCTCCTAAGTAGTACTTGTAGTAGTTCTATGTCTTATTGTAAAGGTGAATTTGAGCAAGTTATTTGTGTCTCTGCCTCAGTTCTCCCACCTGCAAAACAAAGGTAATCATACCTACCTCATAAGGTTATGAAGACTGAGTTAACATTTGTAAAATTCTTGGAACACATTAAGCACTGAGTTCTGAGATTTTTTTTTCGTGGTTGTTCTAATTTCTAAAAAATCCAAAGGTAAAGGAATGGGTCATGTAGGTATCTGGGGGAAGAGTGTTCTCAATAGAGAGTAGAGCAAGTGCAATGGCCCTGCTTTTAAAGGAACATGTAGGCCAGTATGGCTGGAATAGACTGGTTTTGCAAAAGGGAGAATGGATGAGATATCACGGTAAAGGAAGAGGGTATAGGGATGCTCCCAAACTTTTAAACTTTTACACCTGAGATACGGATTTTTGAGCAGAGGAGGGATCAGCTGTTTTGATTTTTAGAAAGATCTGTAAGCTATAGTGAGAACTGATTGTTAGGGGAGAGGAGCATTATATATAAGGGTAGAAAACATGGAGGTCAGTCCAGAATCTATTTTAATAATCCAGGAAAGAGACTATAGCTTGAACCAGCATGGCAGCAATGGAGAAGCTGAGAAGTGGTTAGATTCTGAATATTTTTTTAAATAAAGCCAACATAATTTGCTAATGTGAAATGAGAAAGGTGTCAAGAATGACTCTTAACATTTCTGGCCTGAAGAACTGGAAAGATGGAGTGGCCATTAAAATTGACTGTGGTCTTAATAGCTGACAATGACTGAGTCCTAACGATATGCCAAGTGTTCAGGTCATTTCCTTACATGCACAGTCAAATTTAATCCTCTCTATGCATGTATGGAATTACACTATAACAAGTGTAGGAACCTCCTGATTATTGGTAAGCTGAAATTCAAAACTAAGTTGTTACTTAACCAGTATTCAATACATCATTATTACAGTCACAGGACCTAGCATTGTCCTGAAGATAATAAATAACTATTTAGTGAAATAATTAGCTTTTCTGAACATAGGCTACTAAGTCGTGACTCTATCTAGTTCAGGCAGAAGTGTCTGGCCTCCCCAGACCTCTGCCAACTTCTGCATAGGTCTGCAATGGATGCTTAAAGTCAGGAAATTGTCTTTTCAATTCAGAATCACAATTTAAACAACTAAAATAGACTCACTCCCCTCAGTAAAGGAGCAACTAGCATGGCCCATCTACAAAAGATACTGACAACTAGTCCATATAGTGATCATTCCCTTGACTATGCTTTGTCACTTTCTCCCACTACACATACCTCCTCTTGGCCTCTTATTCTGACTTCCTCAGTTCCTAACCGCACCCCCGCCCGTCCTGTTATTCCCACCCCCACGCCTACCCTCCCTCCAACAGAACTAGGCTACTTCCTGAGGCTTTAATTTTACTAGTGTTGCTTCCCCAACTTCTTCAACCTTTTGTTAATGCCGTCCCCCCCACCTGTCCCTTTTTCAGCAGCTGGGAGATGGAGGGTCTCTCTCCCTCAGTCTTAAATCGGCCAAGCAAAAATCCTATCTGTACTTCGGACCTAGAAGAACCACTTCTTTCAAGGTGTCTTTACTGCCCCACCCCCTTTGGGAACTTACCCTACGGACACCGTTTATAACTGCAGCACCATACACTAGAAAAACGTTTTGGAGACAGAGGATCAAAGTGTCAATTTTAGATTTACCACTTACTGGTTGGTTACCTTTTGGGTCCGTTTTTCATGTCATACAAGTATCCATTCTCGTGGAGGTGTTACAAGGCTCAAGTGAAAAAGATGTACATAAAATGTTCATCTCCATCCTTCCACATTACATTATGCAACCTGGTATTATTCACTGCGCTTATTAACGAACCTCTCTGGATCGTAAATAACGGTCAGGGACCCTGAGTTACAATCTTCCTAGCCCCTAAAACATTTATTATGCATGCAGTAAACGCATCAGTACTGGGCTGCACTCGATTTACGCGAACCTAGAGCATGAGTCTGGGCGACTGGTTAGGGAGATGGGGGGTGGGGCAGCCAACAAACCCAAGGCTTGGCCTCCAACTGCAATTCAGTTCTGGAGGGCTTTGGTTTTCTTTTGCATAAAGGCTGGTGGTAACGAACTTAGTCCTCTCCCAGCAGCCCGAACACTTCACCAGACCCACACCCCTTGGGCTCCGGTTTTGAGAAGCCTTCCATTTTACTTGTCCTCTGCAACACTCCTCCCCCACCCCCACCAACTGTCACTCCGACCGCGCCGCCCACCCAGGCGCTGCGGGCAGCCCCACAGGCCCGGCCCGAGGAGCCCGCCCTGGAACGGTACTCACGCCCGCGGCGCCCGTGAGGCCCGCAGACCGCTCAACAGGGCCGGCCGAGCGGAGCTTCCTCCGGCCGATCTGCGCCAGGTTGAAGAACTTGCTGGACAGGTCCAGGGAGTCCGTGGTCAAGGCGGCGGAATGGCTGTGCAGCTCCAGGCTGCTGCGGAGAACTACCATCTCCTCTGCCTCCTGCCCCGGGCGTCCGCTGCGGGAGACCAGAGCGAGGTCCACGCAGCAACAACCGCCCGGCTCTTCCGCGCTCCGAATTCTGGCGCCACAAGCTCAGCGCCAGCGACCGCAGCGCGCGCGCCCAGAATCCCTCCGCACCTGTCCCGCGCACGCCGGCACCCTCCAACTGCAAGCTCGAAACTTTCCTGCCGTCTGTAAGTAGGGACGTCGGGCCACAGTTGAGGAGAACCTGCTCCCACAATGTTCAGGACCCGAGCGGGCAGTGGTGGGAGAACGCTGGCTTCTTTTTCTCTTATAGTTCCGGCTCACTAAACTCGGCGGAGGGAGACGGCGGGTAGGGGCAAGAGGTCCGTTTGGAATTTTGGCGCGTGGTCGTCGGAGGAGGGGAGGGAGGCCCCCGCCCACCCTGATTGGCTGGCGGGGCCTGGCCGCTCCTCCCCGTCCCTCGCGACACCTGCCTTCAGCTTCCCGCCAAGCAGGATTCAAATGCAAAATGCCCAGTCCTTCATCGGAGGGGAAAAAGCACTTGGCTTCTGATGGATTTTGACCTGGATCTTTAAAAGCTTTTTACTGATAGCTTAACCAAAACAAGTTAACAGCAACAACAACAGCAAAAATAGAAAAGGATCTAAAAGCGGGCAGTCACAGTAGTATAGTCATGGACGCAGATTCTGTCCCCAGTGCTGCCATAACCCACATGTCCGATCACGAGCAAATTATTCACCTTTTCCCTGTCTTAAAATCCTCATCTGTAAATTAACTATAGTATTAATACCTATATACACTCACGCAAAAAAAAAAAGGTGCTACTATTACAGAATTACAGAAAATGGCTTCTCTAAGATTACAGCAATTATGTGTAATCATTCCTGAATGTGAATGACTTTGAAATAACATGCTGAATGATACGATAATGAGGAGTCCTAGTGAAACTTTTTTACATACTATAGGATATTTTACTTAACAACATACAGAAAAATCTATGAAAATGCAACCCAAAAGTAACATACAATCATCACCAAAAACCCCTGCTATTATCCCCCTTAAGTGACTTTTCAGAATAAGAACCCTGAATTTAATGAATCAAAGAACCTCAGACCTCTGAAAGTACAGAAATAGACAGCAGTTAGTCTGACTCTGGGGGAAAAAGAAACCATAGAAGGGGCATCCAAACTCATAACCACTGGATGAAAATAGAAGTTTAAAAAACAAACAAATAATTTAAAGCAACAACAAAAAAACTCAGGTATCCCATACAAGTCAGAGAAAAAAAATAAATCCGTAAGCCCCCGTGTGAGATCATATTTAAAATGTAAAAGTAGAATGTGTTGAATAGATGACTATAGGAACCTAAAGAACTTGAAGGTCTGCCTCTGAGATTAAATAAACAAAAATCCAAGTTAACGAATTAATATGAATAATTCAACCATCTTTAAAAGTAACCTAGACTAAGAAATGCTCTGTCAAAAAACACGTGGCTGAGCCAAGACTAAGAAATACCCAACTACCATGAGAGTGACCAAGATGTTTCTGAAATGCATGATTGATGTAAAAAAAAAAAGCAAGCTATAATCAAATCAAGTGTACTAAATGGAAAGTCCCTGAATTAGAAGATAATCAATCACAAAGGTATGTTTCATTTTTAATCCTGGGGGGCTTCATCAACACAAATACATTACCCCTTGGGACTATCCATGTCTTTTGATCCAATCTCATGCTCACAAATATTCCTCTGGTTATAATTTAGTCTTGGGAGGATTTATAGAAGAGAGGAGTTATCATGTTTCAAAAAAATATAATCCCTACTGAAAACCCTGATTTAGAAAAAAAACCTTCTCACCCTACAACATCCAGCTGGGCCCTAACTGTTCAACCACAACATACCACTGAGATGGCATTTATGGCAAACAGTTCCTGTATATGGCTGTATTAGATCTCCTCTGCTTGATTAAGTTCCTTTAGAGCAAGGACAATCAATAATAAATATTATGCACCTACTACACTCTAGGTTCTGTTCTAGGTGCTAGGGATACACCACTGAACAAGAGGTCAAAACTCAAATCCTTATAGAATACATCCTGATTTGGAAGACATACAAATATAAAAACATAACCAATTATAGTAGAATGTTAAAAGGTAACAAGTGCTAGGAGAACATGAAGCAGAGTAAAGAGGCAGGTAGAGCAGAGTGATTTGAGTTTTAAATACAGTGGTTAGGGTAAGCATCATTGACAAGGTGAAATTTTAGCAGAACAGATTCCTAGGTTCTCCTAAGTAGTACTTGTAGTAGTTCTATGTCTTATTGTAAAGGTGAATTTGAGCAAGTTATTTGTGTCTCTGCCTCAGTTCTCCCACCTGCAAAACAAAGGTAATCATACCTACCTCATAAGGTTATGAAGACTGAGTTAACATTTGTAAAATTCTTGGAACACATTAAGCACTGAGTTCTGAGATTTTTTTTTCGTGGTTGTTCTAATTTCTAAAAAATCCAAAGGTAAAGGAATGGGTCATGTAGGTATCTGGGGGAAGAGTGTTCCCAATAGAGAGTAGAGCAAGTGCAATGGCCCTGCTTTTAAAGGAACATGTAGGCCAGTATGGCTGGAATAGACTGGTTTTGCAAAAGGGAGAATGGATGAGATATCACGGTAAAGGAAGAGGGTATAGGGATGCTCCCAAACTTTTAAACTTTTACACCTGAGATACGGATTTTTGAGCAGAGGAGGGATCAGCTGTTTTGATTTTTAGAAAGATCTGTAAGCTATAGTGAGAACTGATTGTTAGGGGAGAGGAGCATTATATATAAGGGTAGAAAACATGGAGGTCAGTCCAGAATCTATTTTAATAATCCAGGAAAGAGACTATAGCTTGAACCAGCATGGCAGCAATGGAGAAGCTGAGAAGTGGTTAGATTCTGAATATTTTTTTAAATAAAGCCAACATAATTTGCTAATGTGAAATGAGAAAGGTGTCAAGAATGACTCTTAACATTTCTGGCCTGAAGAACTGGAAAGATGGAGTGGCCATTAAAATTGACTGTGGTCTTAATAGCTGACAATGACTGAGTCCTAACGATATGCCAAGTGTTCAGGTCATTTCCTTACATGCACAGTCACATTTAATCCTCTCTATGCATGTATGGAATTACACTATAACAAGTGTAGGAACCTCCTGATTATTGGTAAGCTGAAATTCAAAACTAAGTTGTTACTTAACCAGTATTCAATACATCATTATTACAGTCACAGGACCTAGCATTGTCCTGAAGATAATAAATAACTATTTAGTGAAATAATTAGCTTTTCTGAACATAGGCTACTAAGTCGTGACTCTATCTAGTTCAGGCAGAAGTGTCTGGCCTCCCCAGACCTCTGCCAACTTCTGCATAGGTCTGCAATGGATGCTTAAAGTCAGGAAATTGTCTTTTCAATTCAGAATCACAATTTAAACAACTAAAATAGACTCACTCCCCTCAGTAAAGGAGCAACTAGCATGGCCCATCTACAAAAGATACTGACAACTAGTCCATATAGTGATCATTCCCTTGACTATGCTTTGTCACTTTCTCCCACTACACATACCTCCTCTTGGCCTCTTATTCTGACTTCCTCAGTTCCTAACCGCACCCCCGCCCGTCCTGTTATTCCCACCCCCACGCCTACCCTCCCTCCAACAGAACTAGGCTACTTCCTGAGGCTTTAATTTTACTAGTGTTGCTTCCCCAACTTCTTCAACCTTTTGTTAATGCCGTCCCCCCCACCTGTCCCTTTTTCAGCAGCTGGGAGATGGAGGGTCTCTCTCCCTCAGTCTTAAATCGGCCAAGCAAAAATCCTATCTGTACTTCGGACCTAGAAGAACCACTTCTTTCAAGGTGTCTTTACTGCCCCACCCCCTTTGGGAACTTACCCTACGGACACCGTTTATAACTGCAGCACCATACACTAGAAAAACGTTTTGGAGACAGAGGATCAAAGTGTCAATTTTAGATTTACCACTTACTGGTTGGTTACCTTTTGGGTCCGTTTTTCATGTCATACAAGTATCCATTCTCGTGGAGGTGTTACAAGGCTCAAGTGAAAAAGATGTACATAAAATGTTCATCTCCATCCTTCCACATTACATTATGCAACCTGGTATTATTCACTGCGCTTATTAACGAACCTCTCTGGATCGTAAATAACGGTCAGGGACCCTGAGTTACAATCTTCCTAGCCCCTAAAACATTTATTATGCATGCAGTAAACGCATCAGTACTGGGCTGCACTCGATTTACGCGAACCTAGAGCATGAGTCTGGGCGACTGGTTAGGGAGATGGGGGGTGGGGCAGCCAACAAACCCAAGGCTTGGCCTCCAACTGCAATTCAGTTCTGGAGGGCTTTGGTTTTCTTTTGCATAAAGGCTGGTGGTAACGAACTTAGTCCTCTCCCAGCAGCCCGAACACTTCACCAGACCCACACCCCTTGGGCTCCGGTTTTGAGAAGCCTTCCATTTTACTTGTCCTCTGCAACACTCCTCCCCCACCCCCACCAACTGTCACTCCGACCGCGCCGCCCACCCAGGCGCTGCGGGCAGCCCCACAGGCCCGGCCCGAGGAGCCCGCCCTGGAACGGTACTCACGCCCGCGGCGCCCGTGAGGCCCGCAGACCGCTCAACAGGGCCGGCCGAGCGGAGCTTCCTCCGGCCGATCTGCGCCAGGTTGAAGAACTTGCTGGACAGGTCCAGGGAGTCCGTGGTCAAGGCGGCGGAATGGCTGTGCAGCTCCAGGCTGCTGCGGAGAACTACCATCTCCTCTGCCTCCTGCCCCGGGCGTCCGCTGCGGGAGACCAGAGCGAGGTCCACGCAGCAACAACCGCCCGGCTCTTCCGCGCTCCGAATTCTGGCGCCACAAGCTCAGCGCCAGCGACCGCAGCGCGCGCGCCCAGAATCCCTCCGCACCTGTCCCGCGCACGCCGGCACCCTCCAACTGCAAGCTCGAAACTTTCCTGCCGTCTGTAAGTAGGGACGTCGGGCCACAGTTGAGGAGAACCTGCTCCCACAATGTTCAGGACCCGAGCGGGCAGTGGTGGGAGAACGCTGGCTTCTTTTTCTCTTATAGTTCCGGCTCACTAAACTCGGCGGAGGGAGACGGCGGGTAGGGGCAAGAGGTCCGTTTGGAATTTTGGCGCGTGGTCGTCGGAGGAGGGGAGGGAGGCCCCCGCCCACCCTGATTGGCTGGCGGGGCCTGGCCGCTCCTCCCCGTCCCTCGCGACACCTGCCTTCAGCTTCCCGCCAAGCAGGATTCAAATGCAAAATGCCCAGTCCTTCATCGGAGGGGAAAAAGCACTTGGCTTCTGATGGATTTTGACCTGGATCTTTAAAAGCTTTTTACTGATAGCTTAACCAAAACAAGTTAACAGCAACAACAACAGCAAAAATAGAAAAGGATCTAAAAGCGGGCAGTCACAGTAGTATAGTCATGGACGCAGATTCTGTCCCCAGTGCTGCCATAACCCACATGTCCGATCATGAGCAAATTATTCACCTTTTCCCTGTCTTAAAATCCTCATCTGTAAATTAACTATAGTATTAATACCTATATACACTCACGCAAAAAAAAAAAGGTGCTACTATTACAGAATTACAGAAAATGGCTTCTCTAAGATTACAGCAATTATGTGTAATCATTCCTGAATGTGAATGACTTTGAAATAACATGCTGAATGATACGATAATGAGGAGTCCTAGTGAAACAATTACTGATTTA